AATTTTAAAAGCGTTACCTCTAGCAGATACTGGGGCTGAAAATTCTGTATCATGTAGCAGTATTAATGATAAAGAAACCACACACAGATCCATGGTCTGGAAGTAAATCCAACCCCTGCCCTATAAAATAAGACTGCCGTAAAAATAGGAAATACTATTCTATTTACCACAACAGTGTTAATTGTCCCAATTCACAACTATTTGGGGGGTATCAATGCATGGGCAATTGAAACAATCACTTCTGCTTTGGGTCTTTGCAAGTGGGATATATTATATATTATTTGATCTGTGCCTATGTGCTGCCTATGACTGCCAAGGTGGTGACCATAAAACAATATTATATCTTGGGGAGAAGAGGAAGTTACTCAAACCATCCAGACACTTCAACAAGTGGGAATAGTTAAAGAAGCCACGACTACTTGTAATAATCCTATTTGACTTGTACAGAAATCAGACAGCACTTAGGGAATGGCTGTAGATTACAGAGAATCAAATAGTCACCCAACACTTGCAGTTATGGTATTAGACATAGTTACTCACATAGAAAAAATTAACAAAAATGTACAGTGTTGAAAAGTGGTGATAGATCTTGCTAATGCTTTCTTTTAAACAGTGATTGGTTCAGAAAGCTAAGGCCAGTTTGCCTTTATCAGGCAAAAAAAGCAATATACTTTTCAAGAACTACCTCAGGGATATAAAGTCTCTCCATTTGCCACCAAATGCTAGTGGCTAATGTTTGGCTGTTTATCTTTCTATTGATTATCTGTTGATTACAGCAGAGTCACAAGAAGAAACTGAAGTAGCTGCTGAAAGGCTGAAACTGCACTTACAGGAAAAAGGCTGGGCAATTAATCCAAACAAAATACAGGAAGCTACTATTCTTTGATGAATACATGTCTTACCTGTCTTACCTAGGAGCCATAGTATTGGAACAGTAGTTTGGTGTCATAAACCCAACATCAAATTGAAGTTCATTCTGAAAAAGCACAGGCCATTGTGCTTCAGTTTGTGTGAACAAATTACCCCATCTCAAGTTACCAAACCCAGAATAGTATTAGCTGAAGGAGCTGGTATAACAGAGTATGTATTACTGAAAGGAGATGACATTCCTATTTTCCTCCTGTGTTACAGGCTGGCTCATCATGCTTTGTAGTCTTGTACTACAAGCATATACCCTATATATATTTCTGCAAGATCAATATGTAAATACTGGGGTTTAGTTAGCCTCTATTCTTATTCTTTCAAGTAGCAAATACAGAACACCTGGTATGTTCTCCCATGTAATATTTACACTGGACATCACAAGTAATTGTTGCTTTAAATTTGGAAGTAATGGCTCTATGCCAAAGAACCTTACAACATTGATTTGCAGTGGTCTGCCACCCTCTTCAACATCATAAAATGCTGTTCCAACTTTGGAGGCATGCATTGGTCCAACATAAATGATGGAGTAGCTAGCACGGAGGATGACATTCAGCATCTCTAGGACTTAATACATCAAGTGAAATAATCTACCAGTGGTGCCTGGTGAGCTGAGTGCTTCAATGCCTTCGGTGAGACATTTAATTCAAAACAGTATTGTAGGGATATATTTATTCCTTTTCCTATATGTCACACACCTCTGTAAATTACCCTCTCCCACACAGCCACTCCCTGCAGTAGCAGTCTCTTAAGAAAGGGGGTCAAATGGAGGAAGAAATGGATTAAAAGTGGAAGAGTGACAAGGAGATGAAGCGATGTAAACATGCTTCAGCTGGCAATATGCAGTCTGGAGACTAGTCATAAAGGAAAATACATAAATGTTGTTTATCCTTTGAGTGTTTGACAAGTAGAACATTTATGTATAGGTAACATAGGTAGGGGAGCTCTATTAAACGTGGTTGAGGTCCCTGCTTTACTAAGATCAAAGCACAGAAGTGTAATTCTTTAGCATGGACCAAGCTCAGTGGTGCCTGTGTCTCTACCTGTGTGCCTTGGTCTGAGTGCTGCTGTAGGGATCCCCAGGCTGGCAATGAAAATACATGTACTCTGCCTTTCAGCTGTGGGTCTGTGGTGGTTCCTGGTGCCTGCACTGCTAGCTCACACATCAATGCAAGCAAAGTTTGCAGTTTCAGGAAGGTGGTGAGAAACAATGGAAGCTTTCTGAAGAGATTTTCTCAAAGATGTGACTGTACTACTGTGAAGGTAAAAAGTTGCACTATCCTTTTCTGACAGTGAGTAACAGCCAACCAAAAAAAGTACAATAAACATACTACAGCTTGCATAAGCTGACTAAGAGAATATAGTGACTTTAGAACTTGTTAGGAGCAGGAACCTGGACTAGGAAATTGCAGTTTTTTGATAGTCCTGCAGAGACAAACTTTGTAAAGAGAGAAAATAGCTGCTTGCTTTTCATCTCTTCCCCTCTTCTTGTCCCCCACCTGAGGGCAGCAGTGGCTTCCGTGTAGAGCAGAAGCTACCATATCAACATTTCAAATGGGGAAGGGATTGCCCCAGAAAGGCTTTTTCTGGGTGCTCATCTCTTACTTATCTTCACGCTCCCCACAAAACCCACCTTTTCCTAGAAGTAGCACAGAAGAAACTGGAAAAACACAAATTGGGTTCTATTTCCTAAACAAATGTTTTAGGGTTAATACTAGGATAGGTAATGACTTCAGTACCAACAGACCAACATCTCTTGCAAGGTACAGAGAAGATCATCTGAGAACTTGCTAAGTGTATGGTAATTTTATTTATTTAGGGGGAGAGAAAGGCTTTCTATATTTACTGCTGGACTGACATAATTCAAAGAATAAATAGGGAAACAGTGCTGTTAAAACAGTTCCCTGGGAAACTGAAACAAGACAGGTCCAAAGGACAGAAATTGCTTTTATTAAAAACATTCTAAAAGGTTATTTATAAAATGCATTTCATCATCTGCATTTGGAAACAATTCAGGAACATACTGCTGGTGAGGCAGCTTAGACATTCCGAATTTCGACTCGCAACACAAGCTTTAACTGTATAAATTTATCATATGCTTAACACCACAGGTAACCGTACTCAAGATTTCCAGGAAAGGTTGTAGAAGGATTTCAGCCTTCGAGTATCAATTTACTTAAAAAATGACTTCTGATAAGCAGTACGTCTGCGTACCTAGAAACGTCCACTTAGCGCAGTGTCCTACTCATCTTTCACATATGATGGTTTGTGCCAAAATACAGTAGTAAGATCAAAGACAAAATAGATAACTTGATTGCAGAATTCAGAAAAATTAATAAGATGCATTGAGAGATATCTGATGTACAGTAGCTTTTTGACTTCAATCTGCATAGAAAACTGAAAGAATAAATATCCTTTTGTGATTTTTTTTTTAATGATTTTTTTTAATAAACAACTCACCCTACCCTTACAACTCCCAGATTAAAAATAGAAATTTTATTTTTAACCTCCTCCAAAGTGAAGGAATATGCTAAAGTACCTCCTTTATTTGCATTGTTTAAACAGTTTAAAGTTACACCCTCACTTCTGCCTAACTTGTCCCAAAACTGCAAAAATCTTTTAATAGTTGAGCTCAACTGTAATGTGGTTTTATTTTAATCTATTTTATTGCACCGTGTAAAATAAGCAGACCTGTGTTAAACAAACGAAAAACAACCTGAAGTTCTACAAAAATTCCACTACATTTTGAGATGAATTTACAGCAGGGCAGTAGAAAGGCCACAATGACTCCAAATACTCTGGAAAAAAATATACTGAATGTATACAAATATATATGGAAGGCAACTGCATATGAGAACTGTACTGCATATTGGCATCAACTTCACTAAAGACTTCTTTCAATTCAGGAGTTTTAGTTCTATTCACCTTAGTCCCTTACCTCACTCACTTTTATAAACATGCAATATTTTATTTTAATACATTATCAGATTTTACGAGAATTCCCATATAGATGTAAAGACAGGGTCACTTCCAAAGGTGTAAAGGAAGGGAAAAAAAGCATCCAAAAAGTTTATTTAGTTTTTAACTCAGTGAAATTAAATGTTATCAGTATTTTGGGAATCTTTGTGAAGTTAAAGACCACCCATGGAATGGCTAAACAAAACTAAAATTCAAGAGGTTTTTAATTGGATTACTTCAAAGGTATGTTTAGACCACAGCTACGCAAACAGCTGCATCAGCAGAGTTGGAAAGGCAGTGTCATAGATCTGGTCTACTGCCAGGAGAATAATAGGCCTATTTTAACATGATCAGGGTTAAACCATAGATCTAAGCCCGCACTTGATATCTTGGCATGCTAATCAAAATTATTTTTTGGAGCATACGAGAAAAGGCTTAGAATCACCTATTACTAGAGCTTACCTGATATACTGTGCTGATGGATGAAGACAAGCCTTAGTTGAATGCCTTCACTGGAGAGTTCTAAATAGATAAAAAAATCCCTTGGCCCATTAAGTAATGTTTTAACTGTCCAAAAAAAGAGCTGAACTTAACAATTTTTTTTTTTTAATTTTATCATCCTTTTCTCCTCTTTCATTTGCTAGATAGGTGAGTGGCAAAGTATTTGCCTAAAATAAAGACTGAAGAAACTTCACCTCTAATCCTTAGTTACAGGCACTGCTTCCTTCTCGGATGAATTGCTACCATCTCTTATCTATGCTGAGTTTAGAGCAGGAATATGACACAACTTAAAGCAGAGATACTAGCTAAAATTTAAAGACAAAGCTGGATGAGTTTTCATCAATGAGAGGAACTAGACTTCATCTAAGTAGTTCATTTGGTCCCACACTTCTTCCCCTGAAAACAGGGGGAAGAGCTGTAGAGCTGGGGGAACGGGGGGTGGGGGGGAAAGATGTCATACACTTGTAATTGTGCAACAATTTAATTCATGTTGGTAAAATTCAAGGGAAAATATACACATGTAGCTTTAAGATACATAAAATTAATACGGTATTCAAATAATGTGGAGAGAGGTATAAATGGTGATATGCACTTGCTCTTAAGTGTAAGACAGCAGCATCCAGAATGTTTCAGGAATTTAGCCATTGTAGACACACTAAGCAACTCCACATTACCAAGAGCTAAATTTCTTAATATGTTTTGACTCAAACATGAGACAGTAATTTGCCACATGGTCTTCGTAAAACTAATATGCTGTTATGAACAGCAGAAGATTCAAGTGAATGTATAAATCTCATTCAAGCTGCAGTATGCCTTTTAGAAAGGTTTTTAAATGCTCAAATGACTCATTTTAATAAATAAATTTTAGCTGAACACTGCTAGTGCTATGTGCATTAACACTGCTTCACATTGTTCCAAATAAATTATACTTGACACAGGAACATCCATACTACAATGCTGTATTATTTCTAAACTTTGGTCACACTCTCTAATTTTTAAACAAACACCTCTTCCAGATTTGCTAATAAAATTTAGCAAAAGAATATGAGTGTGTCATGTTTAGGATTTTCATTCTGTATCCAATCTAGAGGCAAATACGACTTCAAAGACAACTTCAGAGCTTTAAAAATCACTTGTACCTTTAAGATAACATTTAACTCAAACAGATTACCAAAAAAAAAATAAAAATTATATGGCTAAGGTTAGGCTCCACTGACAGTCAGATAAGTATGCACCATCTGAGTATGCTTCTGGAGAGATGGGATGCAATGGGAAAGAGTTCATCTTCAATTAAAATTAGTCTTTCGTAAATGCTTATTGGGAATTTCTACTGCGCTTACTTGGAGAGGCCAGGACCCACCAACAATTCCTGCTTGGATAGCTACACCCATTACAACTGCTAGATCAGGGTCTACGGAGGTGTTAGGTTCCTTTCCAAAGAAATCCCGAATAACTTCACGTATTTTAGGAATCCGGGTAGAGCCCCCAACTAACACAATTTCATCCACTTCCTCTTTGTGTAGGTGGCCTTCTTTCAACACCTGTTCAATGGGAACAAGAATTTTCTTAAAAAGGTCCTCGTTCAACATTTCAAATAGTTTCCTAGAAATTTCTCTTTCAAATACAACTTTGACAAAGTTGTTTTCTCCATCTGAAGCATCTCCAAGATTTTTCAAGTCTTTTGTTTTCTGTGAAGGCTTGCTGTTAGGAACAGTGTGTGGCTTTACCTCACTTTCAGGCAGTTCTTTTGTGAGCTTCCTTTGTGGCATGGTCAACGACACCCTTAATGTAGATGCCTCATGAATAGTCAAATTTAACTTAACTGCTTCCACAGCCTGTCTGAGGCGATGTATTTCTTCTTTTCTTGATGGCAGAGAACCATATACTTGATTGAGTTGGTCATATAAATGCTGCATCAACCTCTGATTAAAATCTTGTCCTCCAAGTTTGTTGTTACCTAAAACATCAGATATCACCTCTGAAAATTCAGAAAGCAGCTCACATCTTCTCTTTACTGGCAAATAGAACTCAAGGGTCAGAACAACAGTAGGACCATAAGCAGAGAACAAGAGCAAACAGGAACTAGGAAAACAGACAGAATTATCATCCACTGAAGAGTACATGATTGACTGTAACTTCCAGATTTTTTTAATTATTTTTTTCCTACAGACAAAAATAAATAGGAAGAAAAATCTGTAGCTGGTGGCATGTCACTGAAATGCAATAACTCACAGCAAATTATTTTCCCAGCTAAGATTCCCAGAAAATTTACATCTCCCTCTGCCCAGATGGATTTTTCTGTTAGTACTACCACAGTGCAGCTTTGTAGGAGTTACTGTTCTAATATTTTCAAGTTATTCAATGGTATCATCCATTCACATGAAAAAGCTGCATACCATTGAAGCATATGGAAATATTCTAAGAGAAGCAAAAGAAAGTGAGTAAATGCAAGTAGTGAGGTTCAAGTTCTATTAGCAGGTATATCTTACATTAGCCTTCAGAGAGAGTAGTCTATATTCTCGATTACTTCTAGAAGATTATTCTTGCACCTTATTTCCAAAACCTTTCAAAGAGTTGTTCATGCTTTACATTAAACAGATTTAAAAGTGGCCTGCCAGTTTTCATCTGTGTTGAATAGTACTTTCAAAGTTTCTACCTGTCTTCTATGAGTGAAAATGGAAATTCACTTAACGGACATCCATCCAAATAAGTCAGAATGAAGTAGTTAAGTATTGCTATTCCATTCTTACTGGACATCAAACACTGTTCACTCAAATAAATGCTAAAAACAGCATGGCATCTCAGATCTGTCCAAATCTGGGTCATCTGCAAAGCAGTTGTGCATTCATTCCAGTTTTAGTAAATGTTGCTGCCAAAACTCTTTCCCAAGTGATGAATCACTGTGGCATATATGTATTAAAAACAACAAACTTCTGGGTTAACACAATGCAGTTATCAAGCCCTATACAACTGCACTGGAGCCAGATGCAAGGCAAGGATGTTCTAAAGCACTCAGCTTTAGTAAACTGACTTGGTAAATACTCTCAGCTCAAACAAAGGTAATAGAAAGCTTTAGAACAAAGTATCTTTTGTAAGCAGCAGCACTTACACTGGTAAAAATCAACAGCCTCGGATAAAATTAAACCACAGTTTATAACTCAGAGTCACTTTAAAACTGAATTTCTCTTACCTGGTGAAACCAATTGCAGACCTGGTTGCATATGAAAGGCAATTATGAAAACTTCATTGTGAGACTGTTATGTTAATAACCTCCCTAAAGGTGATGTGAGGCATATCTTTCCTTTCCCACTACTCCTTCAGAAAAGTAAAGCATTTTTCTCACCTGCCATGGCTCGTGTGAGGAACATCCCTCCCTGCTTGTTCAGCAGAGACACATCCAAAGTTCCTCCACCCAAATCTACCACCAGGACATTAAACACATCAGCTTTGTGGAGTCCGTAAGCCATAGCCGCAGCTGTGGGTTCATTGATTACTCGCAAGATTTCTAGCCCTAAAAAGAGCAAAGCAATAGTCACATACAATTCCAAAAACTATATTTCTCACTGTCACAACATTTACCATTAGTTATTTAGAACTAACCTTAAGTGAAATGTCAGCTATAAGGAAATAGTTCATCAAGTATTATTGCTTAGAAAATTATTTTCCTTATTTCAGCCAGAAGTAATACTATTTCACTGTCAGGATGAAAGCATCTACGCAAATATGTTTTCTTGAAAGACCCTTTGGCTGAGTAGATTCCACATCCTATTTGTGTTTTAATTATTGTCCAATTGTGCTCTGTATGTTCTCTCTATTTGGAGATGACAAAAAAAAAAAACTAACATCTTTATATGAAAGGTCAATTATCCTAGCCACCTATGCTTGTGTTAGTCTGCTGCATCTGTTGGCACCCAAGAGTTCTGTGCTGTTCTTCACAATTGTTAGCAGTCTTATAGCAATCCATTCTAAGGCTTTCTATTCTCCATAGACTTTACCACTAGTGAAATAAACATAATGTAAGGCTCCACAGAATAATTCTGGAATAAAAAGACAAACCTGCAAGGTTAGCAGCCTTAACAGTGGCATTCCGTTGCCTTTCATCAAACTCTGCTGGCACAGAGATGACTGCCTTCGAAATGGGCATACCAAGATGGTCTTCTGCCATTCTCTTCAATTTCAGTAGCAGCTGAGAGCCAATATGCTCCGGAGTGACACGAAAGGTTTCATTAGTTGTCACAGAAAATTCAGCTGATCCATCGTTGTTGAAAATCTATGAGGAAAAGTGACATAACTCATATGTAAGACATCTTTTTCTTACATTACCTCCTCTGCTACCACCATATATTAGATTCGCATGTTGCTCGTTTATTCTGGGAAAGAATAAATTTATTCTGGGCCCCTCGCGGTAAGAAAGACATCGAGGCCCTGGAGCGTGTTCAGAGAAGGGCAACTAAGCTGGTAAGGGGTCTGGAGCTCAGGTCTTACGAGGAGCGGCTGAGAGAGCTGGGATTGTTCAGTCTAGAGAAGAGGAGGCTCAGGGGAGACCTTATTGCTCTCTATAACTACCTGAAGGGAGGTTGTAGTGAGCTGGGGGTCAGCCTCTTCTCTCATGTGACTAGTAATAGGACTAGAGGGAATGGCTTCAAGCTGCGCCAGGGAAGGTTCAGGCTGGACATTAGGAAATACTACTTCTCTGAAAGAGTGGTCAGGCACTGGAATGGGCTGCCCAGGGAGGTGGTGGAGTTACTGACTCTGGAGGCATTCAAAGAACGTTTGGATGTTGTGTTGAGGGACATGGTTTAGCGAGAACCATTGGTGATGGGTGAATGGTTGGACTGGATGATCCTGTGGGTCTTTTCCAACCTTAGTGATTCTATGATTCTATGATATAGTTGTATCTATCCAGTGAGGCTGTGGACACCCTCTCCCTGGAAGCATTCAAAGCCAGGCTGGATGGGGCTTTGAACAACATGGATGAGTGGGAGGTTTCCCTGCCTATAGCAGGGGGGTTGGAACTAGATTATCTTAAAGGTCCCTTTCAACCCAAACTATTCTACATCTCTATGATTCTATGTACATTCTCCACTTCATTCATCACTTTTATTCCTTGATTGTAAACAACTGCTCAATCATCTTCAATGCTACATGATACAACCACACATTTGAAGATGAAAGCTCTTAATCATTAAGTTAATCCTATTCATAAAGCTTCACATAGGTTCTTTATTCTGAAAAGAGGTAAATAAGCTGGTATTCTGTCAGTTCCTCTTTATAAGAATTCAAAGACTGTTTGTAGTAACCAAAAAAGCGTCTCTTTTCAAAAGATGTCAACTTTTAAACTTTTTTTTAATATATATATCTCAAAGTAAAATAAGGTACAGTTAAAATTTTGAGTTGGAGCTTATGCTGGAACATAACCTAGAAACACATTTCACACTGGGGCCGGGTTCCCTACAAAATCATCAGCTCTCATGCTGAAGTACACCGCTTCCACCAGCATTTCCTCCTCTTCTCTCTGAGTACATCTTATGGTTTCCAGGCATATCAGATTTAGCCAAATGACTCAGAGTCAGAAGAACTGGTTCTGCATTACATATTTCAAGCTTCCTACATATCAATAGCCTGGAGAGAAGCAAAAATGATGTTTGCTCACCTTAAATGGATACCTGCTACTTTCACTCTTCAGTTCTTCTGAAGTGAAGATTTTCCCAATGAATCTTTTTGCATCATATATAGTATTCTGAGGATTTGCATCAGCAAGTTCTAGGCCATCATATCCGACGTATACATCTCTGTCGGTGAAAGACACTATACTTGGAATGCTGTTGTGCCCGTTTTCATCTGCAATAACCTTCACCTGCCCTGTTCCAGGAAGAAAGACACCGACAGAGCAGTAAGTTGTGCCAAGATCAATCCCAATTACTTTTGGTGTGGGCATCGGTAAATACTGTTGTGCTAGATAGCCAGCTAGCAGAAGAGCCAGAATTGCCGAACCTGAAAGACAAATCAGTAGGTCAACTACTATTTTGGGAGTAACTGCTTATGAACAATTCTCATAGGAGACCTAGTTAATGAGACTGTACAAAAATCACACACACGCTCACTCTTGCTTCAGCCCCAGCTCCCTGAGATCCCCCTCCCACAGCCCTGAGTCTTCCCTACGCCTCAAAACAAACAGGTAAACTAGCTCAGAAACACAGTGATTTTTCCATTTTACACGTAACCCACGTACGAAGACAAGAAAACCAACGCGGCAAGGACGGTCACGGCTGTCTTTCAACAGAGCAGAGAGACAGCGCAGGTTTCTGTCAGCTACTTCCCCGCACAACACCTATCTCCACAAGAAGCAAGGGAAAACCCCGAAACCATAACCATCATGAAAAACCACTCCGGGCTGGCAACGTCCCCACCAACCCTGCACAGCCCGAGCGACGAGACCCGCCCGGCTCAGGCCAGGCCACCCTTCCGCATCCGCCCGCTTTCCTGCCGAGCCCAGCGCTGCCCCGTCCCCCTCGGCTGCCCGCACGCACCCAGCACCGCCATCTGCCCGGCCATCGCTGCTCGCCGGCTGCCGCAGCACCGGCCAACGCCGACTGCTGACGAGTCCTTCCGGGCCGCACCGCGCGGCACGCCGGGAATTGTAGTGCGTGCTTCCCACCCGCCCCGCCGGCGCTCGCGGGCTGTCTGTAGCGAAAAAAACTACACCTCCCAGAAAGCACGTGGGGAGGTGGCCCTTTCCTGCTGGTGCTGGCCAATGGGCTGAGAGGAGAGATCACAAACACGGGTCGGTAGGGAGGATGCGTCGTATCTTTCTTGCGCATGCGCAGAACGGGCCGGCCGCCTCGCGGTGCTTACTGGGAGTGATAGTTCTGTTGGGGAGACGCGGCGCCCGCCGGGCGCGACTGCCATCATTGCGGCCTGACGCTTGTGGCGGGAGAGGGCGCAGTTGGCGACGCCGCCGTGAGGCGGTGGGCTGACGGGCAGCCCTATGGGCCTTGTCTAACTTATTTTCCCGACATTGGTGTTGAGTACTTCCATTGCGTCTCTTTAAATGGTGTCATTGTACAAGTGGCCATTCTAAAACTAACTGAGTGGAGGAGAGCTTGTATCATAGAATCACAGAATCATTAAAGTTGGAAAAGACCACTGATACCATCTGGTCCAACCACCAATCCATCACACCGTGCCCACTGACCACATCCCTCAGTGCCACATCCACACGGCTCTTGGACACCCCCCGGGGACAGTGAGCCCACCTCCTCCCTGGGCTGTGAGTGCCAATGGTTGTTTACAGTATTTCTTCGCCCATGTAACTCAAGAGCCGGCACTTTTACATATAGTAAAATAGCAAAAGCAGGAGTTTGCTGAAGTTTTTGTCTTTGATAGTCACCACATGCAGTAGTACATATGGACCCCATTGAAATCTCACACTTCTGAAGACTGACGTGCAGGGATGCTTTATAAATACCGTGACAGATTTCATCCTTTTTGAAGTGCAGGCCAGGCTCTGTTTTTATACGTGAGATTAGAACTCTGAGAGGCATTGGGGTCACTCAGTGAGGTGCATGCTGAAGGAGAGAATTCACATGCCCTCTCCTATACTTCTGTTCCATCTCCTAAAAAAAGCTGCCTCATAAACACAGTGGATCAGCCAAGGCCTCCCTGCCTCACTCTGTCTCCCAGGAGGCCTGCCTGCTCCCTACAGAATTACACAGCACGGAACACCTGCCTGGGAGTCAAACCAAGGAGAACATTATACTGCTCACTGCAGCAATTGCACATCACACCAGACACTTCTTCAGGAGACACCTTCCTCCTTGTGTCTGTTTTTGACTTTTGTCTTATTGAAGCCTGTATCCACCCTGTGATACTTTGAAGGCAACTTTAGTTCTTCAACACCTGAACTCAAATGAAGTCCAGAAGTGCCTATTTTTAATCCTACATCTCCATGATGTATCAGGGTCTGCTTAGGGCTAATCCATGACCTACAGAAAGATGATTCCTCTTGCATTTGCAGAATAGGCAGAAATAATCCTAGTGAGCTTGCATTTTTTTCTGGGGTATTACCAGAGTGTCTTCTGGATGGAGTTCTTAGTGGTGTTAAAACCATTTCTTTTATTTACACAGCTCTCATTTTCTTCCCTTACCTCAGGACATGCTGCATTCAGGGTTTCTTGAGAAAAGTTTGACTTTGCATAGAGCAATTTTTTTTTTTCATTGGTCCAGAGGAAGAGCCTTATTTAGTTGGGAAGGGAAAACTGTGGGTAGTTCCTGCCACTCTGACTGCCTGGTGAACACAGGCATGGTTAAAAGCAGACACTGGAAAGTAGATTTTTTTTTCCTGAAATGATGTGTTAGCCACATCCCTGTAATGGCTGGCAATGCCTATATTGCAGTGCTTAGCACTTACCCAAAGGTAAACAATGCAAACTCAGACCCATACACCTCAACTACAGTAGATCAGGGCCTCTGGTGACACTTTCTGGTATCTTTGCTGATCTGTCTGTTTGTGCTGGCTGTACAGTGCTGATAAACCCTTGGGGACAGCACACCAGGCTGTCAACATTACCTGCCACTTGATGTGAGCAGAAGGTAGACATGAGACCTGTCTCTGGAGGTCTGGGCCAAGAGCCTAGTTAGGCTTATTAGTGTATCTATTCACTCTGGTGGTAAGCTTTTTAAAACATTTCAAAAGCTTTTGGGGGATTAATTTCCTTCAAGGGGATAATATTTTTTCCTGGTGCTTTAACAGGTGAAGGTAAACATATTTATGTCTACAAATAGCTCGACGGGGAGAACTGTTCTTACAGTGTAAGAGCAGAGGCTGGTTTTAAAGCAATCTCCCATTAGATGGGAACTGTCCCATTAGATGGGATCTGCAGGAAGAAACTATTACACCGAGGAGTACCCATGAAAACATAGACCTATGATGTGTTAAACACAGTTCAAGCATTTGTTGAATCACATAAAACTTGTTTTCATTTCTAGAATGCTCTGCATCAGCTGTATTCCTGCACTTTGAGAAAAGGGAACTGAGTTTGCAAAGCATTCTCTTTCCTGCCATTGCACAGAACAGGGCTTCCTCTTCTTAGGGAAGACTCAGTGAATGCTTTCTGCACCATCGCAGTAATTTCCAAAACATTGTCCAAAATCAAAACACAGAGTACCAGAGTTCAAACCCACTGTGCAGGAGCAAGCATGAGAGAGATTGGAAGCCACTTCCCAGGTGGAGGGTGTGGTCAATGTCTCCTTGAGAAAAGAGACAATTTACTGAAATGCTATAATATGAAATCTCATGTTTTGATTTTAAATTCAATAAAGGTGGCTTCTTAGCCTTGGTGCAATCGTATACCAAAATTACAGAAATGCAGAGTACTGTCTCCTCTACATAATTAAAACATTGACCTTCTCCGGCTGTATCTAGTTGGGGAAGGAAAGGATTTCATCAGTGTCCAATCTTCCTCTGTGACAGACAGTTCAATGTCAGGCGGTTGGAAGAAAAGTATAACCTTCAATTGAGATGCAAAAGTTTCCATTTAAATTCCCGAGTATAGCTTAAAGATTTCTTGCTCCCACTGCCTGGATGTTGTGAAGGTGTGCAGGGAATCTTTAATTAGTCAGGAGCTGGCTCTCCGGCTGGCGGCACTGTGAGTTGCTGCAGGGTTGCTTGGAGATTCATAGCCAAAAGCAGGGGTGAGACACTGGCGTCAAGCTTCCAGCAGATGTCCCTGCTATGCAGGATTGCTTTTTATATTTAAGGGTAACCTGCAGATTCATATAAAGCATATTAACCTTTTGCAGTCGTTATCCAAATTCTTGTAAAGGCATAAGTCATGAAAATGGTGTCTCATTTTTCAGTGCAGTTTGTTTAATTCTCTTAACATCTCCATTTCACCGAACCCTTGTGAAATCATTTTGAGGTTAACAATGAAATTTTTATTTCCTCTCTCATGAATACAGCTGCAGTCATACAAGCAGTTCAGGAAAAAAAGTCTGTGAGCAGAATGGGATTTTCACTGGTCTCTCTCCTGCCTCTGTACTTGAATTTCTGTTGGTCTGCACACTGATTATGGCTTGCTGTGATGTGGGGGAAAAAAAAAAAAAAAGCAGAGACCCCTTTATTTAAGAGATGAGACAAGTTTGGCATTTACTGGCCTAATGACTGGGAAGCTTCACTCTTGCTTTACTACAGTGTCGTTTATGGCAGATGTTGCAAGACCAAGAGCTGAATGCTGCTGTGAGATCAGCTACTTCCTCCCCACCCACCAGTAGCCTGACTTGGTGGGCCTGGATCTTGGATTAAATTTGTCCCTAGGTCTGGAGCACATAATTCAACTTCTGCTCAGCTAAGGTGTCCCATCTAGAAGTAGGGACAGCCATATTGCAGTAACTATGTGACAGAAAAATCAATCATTTGTACAGTGGTTTGGTGGAAACAATGTGCTGCATATCACAACCTGGAGCACAGGAATGAGGATATGATTGGAAGTCTCATCATCTGCTTGAATCATGAGAGTGATAATGATAATGAACAAGAGTCCTAGCAGTCTCCCAGGAGGCCGTTTTCTCATTTCTGTTGTGATGTGTATATGAAATCCATACAGATGTCAGTCAGACGTATCAATTTTATCTATTGGGCGTGACAACAAAAGGATAAACAGAGGAACGTGCTCAGATATAACTACTTTAACACACAGCTCCCGAGGCCAAGGTTGAGAGGTTTTGCAAAATGTTTGGATAGAGAAAAGTCCTTCTTTTCTGTTTGTGGGGTACTGATGCTGATGTCTCGGAATATTTATTTTACAGTGATTCTGTTCTTTTCCTGAAAGTATCACCAAGGGGACATCAGTGAGTTTGTACATGTGATAAGAACATTCGGGTCTTTCTGATGAATCACTGGCATAGACAATCTATTTCATTTAACATTTAGAAATAGTATTCTGGTACACTAGGAGCAACTGTGCTATGTCATACCTACTTTCATAGAAGAGTTATTCCACGACCTAAATTATTTCTAATCTAAGTATACAAAAGAAACAATAAGTAATAGAATAGAATAGGTTGTTCTTTGCACAGTGTGCAGTTGAAGGAACACAGAAATTGACTGTACAACTCAAGAACAGACAGTGAGTGTGGAGACCAAGTATGGTTTGAAATGAGCTGTATCAAACACCACTCAAGAGAGGTCCCTACAGAATCAACTTTCTTCCATTCCTTTAAGGAAAGGGACTTGTATCAAGGGTAGCCATCAAAGACCTAATGGGTCAGAAGTGTCCTCATTTATACATTGCTCTTTGGGGAAAGTGGTAATGGCATTTCCTAATTGTCTTTAGAGTACAGGAACTAGAGCTGTGTGCAGGAACTGGAGTTGTCATTATTTTCTGAATGTCCAGCATACTTCAGTGTAACCGATACATAGTTCAAATATGACTAAGATGTGAGCAAGTGCATCTAGCGTTATACAAACTCAGTCTGGTTTTATTTCAGAGAGAGATATGTGGAACCAGTAGCACTTGACAGCATATCCCACAATGCCTCTTATGTACTCTAGTCTATCTGAAATGGAGAAAAAAATTTTGAGAGTGCACAAAAAGAAAACTCAAGCTCATCAGCCTGAGTCAAGGTCCTTAATGTTGCTTCATACCTTCCCAGCACCTCTAGTCAATTGATGTCTGCTTTGCATGAGCCTTTGCCTATGCTGAGGCTTACAACGTACCTG